ACGTCACCGCCGTCAATCACATTTCGTGCATTGTATTGCTCACTTCACAAGAAAACTTTCCATTGAACAAATAGACCAATCTCAATATTGATATGATAACTAGTTTTATAATTTTTTTAATTTGAATACCAATCTTGTGTTTACTTGATTTGTTGGGAAACTGGAATCAAATCGTTGTTTATTTCACATGCTGGTAACTTTTGGGATAACCAGCTATAGCTGATTCTCCCCAGTGTGCTGTAACTCAAATCAATACTACTTCTTGCTACCCTACCGCTTTTAGAAGTCGTGAAAGTGATCTGGGAAAATTAGGATTAGACGCGTATCGATCCGACGTAATCGACTTTCGTCTAGTGCTTCAAAAAACGTCGATTATATGTATGCTTTCTTTTCAGCGTAGTCTCCGAAATTCCGAAAGGTTAGTGTTAGCGTTTCAATTCCGGCGAGCTGTATAGCACTTGGTACTACTTGAAATTCTTTCCCTTTTCGGACATTTTGTACACCGTTCGTTTTGTATATATTTCATTCGTTTTGTTTGTTATTTGGGATGGGAGACCGCTGGCAGTGGAGTAAAACCACAAAACAATCGAAATATTTCTTCCTTCTCTTTCACTCCACTCATCTCTGATGTAGGTGGAGCTGTTTGTAGTTCCTCTTTGTTTGCAACTTGTTCGAGATAATCTGCAAATACATTCTTTTCTTTTCACAGAGTTAGCAGTATACCGCACTAAATTTCTGTACTCACTTCTCGACCAGTTGTCGCGTTCACCATCCATAGGTTGCTACTGATGAAAAACGTTGAAAATTGCATAAAACCCAGGAGGCTATTCAGAAAATTACAAATTAAGGGACTCTTCGAGTACGGTGTTTTACAGTCGCTGTTTGCGATGCTTCGGTTACCCAGATATTAGCTCTGCTATGCTTTTAAAAGACAATGCTTCAAATAATGCTGTGAAAACCAAGCAGAACCAGTTTTGTTCTAAAACTGCGTTTCCGGATGCTGGTAAATCATGTTCCGTCGTTTTGAAACTACTCCAATCGCTTTAATAACGGAATCTCGATTACCCTCGATATGCGACGGCAATATTTCATTCTGTTCGTTCAAAATGCGCTTTGTGTTTCGAATATTTTAATCTCGTAATCCGCCAACATGGTATTCATGTGGGTTCCGCCGAATTCCCGTGGAATGGTCGCTAGTTATTTGGACTTTTGGCTCAGCGATCTGCTCTCTTTTTCCTTCTCATAGTTTCCTTCACTGCAAAGAGAGTTCAGGAAGTAAATGTTGGGCGGTGTTCGTCCTGGAGGGCAGGGCCAGGGGAGGAAGGTGCATTTTGTATTTTTACTAGTTCTTGTAAAGGCGAGTCTCACTTTGGTAAAACCTGTCGACTTCCTCCAAATGTAAGCCAAGCCTATTCTATTGCAAAGCTTTACGGGAATCTGCAGATCTCTGCAGGAGGCATCTGCAGCGATCGAAATGAGTCAGCAAAATGTTCTTACCAAGGTGGACTGCGCCAGATTTTGCGATGTCGTTTCGCCACGCAAGCACCGCATTTGTCATCTTGATTGTTTAGAACAATTGTCTGAGAAATCACGAGAAAGTGCTCATTCTTGGATCCATCCCATCCGAGAGGGCGTACACTCCGGGAAGTACGCGCAAAAACCCCTTTTCGGCCATTCCTACAGTCCTGTGCGTGTGTTTTTCTGTTCTTTCTGCGATTTTTTTTTATTTTACGAGTATTCTTTATACAAATAACTTACTAGGAAAAGGAGAGTGTAAGAATCCTGAAAGACGGCGATTGTGTGTTCTTGCGCGAAATAGCTTCCGCTTGCTCGCTCTCTCGCCAAGATTACAATCCCAATTTGGTCTTTCCATCAGTTTCCATAAATCAGTGGTTTTCGTTGCACCCAAGGTTCCACTTGGAAGTTTCCATGACTGATCAGTGTTTCCACACCTTGAACTGACCATTAGAGCATGCCTGCAACAAGATACCATTTGTACACTCCCAGAATCAATTTCTGTTCATATTCTTTTTCTTTCTAGTCCAATTTTCCTACAATTCTACAGCTATCTTCAATTTCCGCGCTCTTATTTCCTTTTCCTCTGATGCAGTTCCTTGCGATTTTAACTTTGTAAGATGCCCTGGAAAGGATCGACCGGCCTGAAGGCGGGGTAAAGAAATATTTGGTCTGGAGAGAGTTTCTTGATTGTTGTTTAGTCCGTTGGGGTCTTACGTTTAGTCTTCCAGTTACAGGCGTAATATACCCTGCCTCCTTTTTAACACGTTCCGGAGCGCGTGACACACATGTTGTGTCATGCATTTGCCCCTATGTGGCGTTTCGTTTGATTATTCTGACTTCTCCATGTTCTATGGTTGCGGAAACACGTTTTCAGTAACATATCCTTCCTCATAAGCGATTGAAAAGAGGGAGGGAATTACTGATCAATTATTGATGAAAAATGATGAAATGATCGGGACATGCGCGCAGTACGGCGGTCCGCGATGTGTTAAAGACAGTTCCCGCGATCAACTGGTCCGATCAAGTGGTACATTTGGCATCGTTGTCCGCATTCGCAGAGAATATACCACTTTCGTCACTTGAAACGGCGAGATAAAGAAGCTAGAGACGCGTGATTATTGCAACCATTGCAACCACGATTACTTTCACTCTGCAAGACAACGGCTTACAAGCGGAATCGTGTACACATAGCGTTGCCTGGAGCGTCGTAGGGTGATTTCCTGTGCTCTTGCCGGAATTGGCTGCACGTCGAATCCTGCTGATTGGGCTTGCCGACGTTTGACAAACTCGTCCAAGGCACCACTGCTAAGGGGTTCTCTGTTCGGAGTGTTGGAAAGGATCTGCTTCTTTTCTCTACTGGGGAGTTTACCCATAAACTTGGTCGCGGGAATTGTCTTTCAACGAGCATTGGTGGGTCGTATCTGTAGAGGACGATATAGGAGATCGCACTGAGGAGAGACTTTCGCTCGTCGGCATGCTTGACCGTGTCACCTGCCATTTCTAAAAACTCCCCATTTCCGAGGTATAAGACGCATTTATCAGTCGCCGAAACCTGGCAGTCTTTTTCCGAAATTAAAAAAGTTAAGTCATCTACTTAAAAAAACTACTAATGTTCATCAATTTAGCCAAAGCTCGACACGAAATCCTCGCTAGCGTTAGGACTGCATGAGATGTTCCATGAGATGTTCAAAGTGCTGCATTGGGTGACCGCGTCGCCCCAGTGCACTTGAAAAATCTTTGGTCAATTCAGCTTCAGTTTTGCTTCTTTTGCAGTCTGCACCTTCCGGACTGACTTTCAAACATTTCATGCATAATATTGTTATCCGATTCTTTTAATTAACGATACGAAACTTATGAATACTGATGAGTACTTATGAATATCTGATAATCTAAGTATAAAACTAGCTTCGCCAATAGTCATTCGAGGGTAGGTGTTTAGGAGGCCGTCGCTAACTTGAATGCATGGAACTGAAAACCCAGTTTTTTGCGGTGGGTTCAAACGCACGTCCGCGTTTCAAAATGGTGATTGTGCGGTCAAGCCACTAATAACAGATGGTAAAATTACACAGAATTGAAGAAAAAATGCACTGAAAACCCGCCCGAAAATGCCCCATATAAAGCCCTATGATGAACCGCGCGTGGTGGACGTGGAATGGACGAGTTCTGACTTGGAGTGTCAGCTTTTTCTCCTTGTCACCTCACTTTCACCATTCGAAAGGGAGATAGTGCCAAAGAAAAAACGCACCACCAAGTAGCCGTTAAAAATGAGTGTGGGGGGGGGCCATGGCCAGTGGGCGGAACCGTTGTTTCGTCGCGAGCAGGCGGCGGTTTCCTCACGTATTTTTGAGGTGCGAAAATAGTATATGCTTCATACTTGCAGGCGGGACTACCACTTTCAAAGAGGGCGTCTGAACATCTAATGAACGTGGATCGAGCCTTTAACTCTAAGATGCGCCTTATACACGGATACAGCTAATACTCCGAGGCGGAAGTGGTGTGGTGGCAAGTGGCGCGCTTACCACTCGCGCGGTCCGGGGTTCAGGTCCCCGATCGGCACCCTCCCAAGCCAAACAAGCCTTCTACCCTCCGAAAACGGTAAATGGTACCAGGTTCGTCTGCGGAGGATGGAAACACTGACTTGCACATCGGCTGGCCACCGCAAGTCATTGTATAGGCCACATCGCATTCAATAAGCCACTACGATTCTGAATGGAAAAGGAATGCGTGCCGCATCCCAAAGGGGTTGATCGACGGCGAAGACTTTATTCTTTCATCCTTTACGGCTCATACCCAAGAAGTAAGGGTATATTTCTGATCTCATTGCTTGTGGCATTTTTTCGCAGCCATGCTACCTTTCACAAATCTGGAGGTTACATATATAGTTAGTTCACTGTGGATCGGTTGGGCGTGTTAGGCGAAATGACTTTGGCGCTTTTTCGCTTCCGTGCCAAACCCGTTCTCCACCAATTGTTATATAGCAGCAAATTGATATGACTGCTATCGTTTGTACGTTTTGTGCACTTCTGTCGCGTGCGCTTCTTCAACAAGAGGCAGAGAAATGGCTTCGAAGCGTGCACAGCACACTGCCTGAAACGCGGCAACCGTCGCAGCGAACTAGAGTTTAATGCTGGTATGATAGGAATTCGATACGGCTTATATTAACTGTTGAATGAATTCGAAAGAACTAAATTCGATGATAGATTGATAGAATAATGGATGTTCATATCGTGCCGACTGCGAAACTGTACTTACACTGTGATCGTTATTCGTCCGATCGTTCGTGGCTCTTTGTTGGGGCCGTTTTCTAATGGTCGTTTACAGGGAAGCGATGACGAAGGCGGAGATGCTAGGATAAGACGCTGGTCTTTCCGCGCCATTCAACGGGCCCTCATAGCGAGACGTTCGTGGTGGTTTCATGAAATTATTCACAAATATGAAGTTGTTATTTGCTGCTGCTGTATCACTGATTCTATTGCTCATGTATGTGGGCTCCTCGTCAAGCTCATATGTTGAATCCGAAATGGGACCAACACAAAAATAAAACGGATGCTTTCGGGTGAGCCGTTTAAAGTTTTTCTTATTTCTTTGTATCTTCTGTTTTATGGAACTTTGTTGTTTTCCAACCCTTGTGGACATTTGTCGGGTACTTGTTTGGGTCTTGCTTTCACGAAGCGCCGCTGATTAAATCAGAAGCCAAGATCAGATCCGCGATGTTGCCAGACGACTGTTCCTCTTTCTAGTGTACATCAATGATCAGGGGCGCAGTTCTGCGACGGGGGGGGGGGCTTTTGCACATTTGCTGCATTGTTTGTTCGAGGTTCACAAATCCCATTCTGGAGTGGAACCTGCTGACTCTTGTGAAGTTGGAGCAAACTTCGTCGAATTGCCATGCTGAAAATTGTCAACTCTTGAAAATCGCGAAATGTTCTTTAGATGGGTCGACACGTCGGTGGGAAGTAGCAAAGGCGCAACGTCTGTGGGAAGTAGCAAAGGCGCAATGCTCTTCCCCCTGTGGCGAAGTGCATCAATCAAAGTGATGAAAACCGGGGTGCTTGCTACTAGTAAAGTCGGAGGAGTTATGACGAAGAAATAGTTTGCTGCCATACCTTCACAAGATCTAGTGGGTTTGCGCAGTTATGTTTATCCTATGCGGCTCTCAGATGCGCCTTTCTTAACGTATTCTCCTTTATTCTGCCCCACCCCCTACTTATCCAGCGCGTTCGTGCGGCCGTCGATCTTTCGAATCGACCTTTCGTTGATTGTGTTGAGTTGGTATAACTAATGGCCATTTCACTATTACAGTTTTCTTTGATATATGGAACATTTGGTTCAATTTGGTTGTTTGTATGTTCGTTGTTATGTTTTAACCTTTCTTCAGGTTCATATTGTCGCCGTGTCCATGAATAAATAAATAAATGAATAAATGAATATTAAAATTCCATTGTCTCCGTGGACAGGCGAAATCATAATTTCATTGATCTCCGATGTTATATTCATGATTTATTTCTTTTGAGGCAAGCAATAAGATCTTTAAAATTATTGATGCGAACACTTCGAGTATTGAACAACATGGAGCGGCAATTGTTGGTAATGAGGCCGAAGAGAAACGTCGCTCTTTAGTGAGTTTTCTTCCCATCCTCTCGAATCTTGATAATAGCAATTTTACCGACAATGTGCAATTACGGGGACATGAACAGCTTTTTTCTACCAGTTGAGAGCCAAGTCGTGATATTTCTTTTGAGATGCAATGCGGTATGGTATCCGCAACTATTTCAACATTTTGTAGGCGCTGACTCGGTTACAATATTTGCGTCGCTATCGCAGCCCAACCATGTTCAGGCTCTTTGCGCGTAAGAGTCAGTTTTAATACTTTGTGGTGGGGCGTTGGCGTAGCCACAGTCGTTTACGTCGTCACCGCGGATTCTCAGCGTTCCCCGTCAACTAAACAGTATAGGTATCTGTCTACGTGTTTTTGAGCGTTCGTCAAGGCATCGTTTGCGACCCGTTATTGAGCGTTTCAGCGCTTTAGGCGTTTTGTGCGACTGAGAAAGTATGGCTATCAATTATCGCTGTAAACGCTGTGACGGACGCTCAAAACGCTGGATCTACACTATGTTTTCCTAGTCGCTAAAAATGATGAAGCGAATTATATGCATTCTACAATCGCTGGAATGGGCGTTCCCACCAAGCATACTAGCAGGAAAATTTAAAGATATTGCTTTTGAATTATACAAAAATTTTCAACATCCTCCTTTTCATATATTGAGATCGTTTTGATCGTTTCTCTTTTCATCGTAGACGAAGGCTGCTGAAGAATGTGCACTATTTCAGGCGATCTTCTTTATTTTATTTGTTCTTGTGCTTGCTATTTTGATCGTTCATCTTCTGATCATATCGAAAATACAGTTTATTCCTGAAAGTCTCGCAATTGTTATTCTTGGTGGGTGCAGATTTCCGTACTGTTGCAGTTTCTCACCCCTGAAATGGTGTTTTACCTGGCGAAAAGTGAAGGCTTTGCGTAGAAGTTTTCTATTTAGGAGCAGTCGTAGGGTCAATACTTTCTTATTCAAATCATGATTGGAGTGAAATAGAAGCGTTGAGCCCCGGTATGTTTTCTACGAATGTCTTTGAAAGTATACTAGCACTATTGTTCCTTTCAGACATATTCTTCTTGGTTTTACTACCTCCGATAATATTTGAAAATGCTTATAATCTTAACAAGGGTTATTTCTTTTCAAACATTGGTCCGATTCTTTCGTTCGCCATAGTGGGGACAGCGATATCGGCACTTGTGATTGGGTTTTGTATATACATACTTGGTCAAGTAAGTGTTTTCTTCCTCGGATTTCTTCGTAGACTCTCACCTTTTTACTTTAATGCTCTAATTGCAGGCAGATCTAGTCTATGAGTTTTCAATTTTTGAATGTTTTGCGTTCGCTTCTACAATATCCGCTGTTGATCCTGTGGCCACCTTGGCGATTTTCCAAGCAGTGAAGGTAGGTTTTATTTTCGAAGGTGATTGACACATGGGTGGGTGGTAGTAGGCGAAGCTAGGTCAGGACATGTCGCAGCCGGGGTATCTGCGGCGAGGGGAAATTGTTTGGTCACTGAAAGGAGGGGAGTCTCCCCCCCCCCCCCTCCCCCTCCTAGGTGGTGCTGGAGCCAAAGTCCTACACAGCTACAATTTTGGATAGTTGGATTTAGTAGTTGTTTGGTGGCACTTCCCACTCCTCAGTCAGAAGAAGGAGAGGAAGGCCGTACTAGAGGGAAGGGGAATGCCGGGGGAGGCAAATTTTGCGAAAATTTTCCCGACAGGACGTGCCTTCACCTAGGTTTCTTAAGCGTTAATATTCGTCATCTTCTTCCCCCCCCCCCCTCTCCCCCAGTTTTTGAAAAGGGGAAATGGTTAGACTCTGCATGTTTAACGATTCTTTTTTGGATAGGAGGTTAATGTTCAATAAATCCATTCTTATGCCGTTCGTAATCTGCGTTTTCTACTTTGTGGTCATATTTTACAGGTCGAAGGATTACTGTATATGCTGGTGTTTGGCGAGTCTATGTTAAATGACGCTGTTTCTATAGTGTTAACTGCAACTGCTATACGCCATTCACATCCGCCGCTTAATAGGTTCTTATTCTTGTGCAGCTATGGCCATACGTATAAGGCGACGTGGTAGATGACTCAACTGTTTTTCTTCAGATTGGGACCGTCAGAAATTTTCACAAGTGTAACACTTACGTTTCTGACTATGTTCACTCTCTCAGCTGTGCTTGGTCTGGCTATTGGACTTCTTAGTGCTCTGGTACGTTTTCGAGCTAATAGTGAGGCGGGTGTGTGACAAAATACGCTGGTGGGCGTGGTGAGCGACGTCGCGTGTGACAGACGAGTTGTCCTGTCTAACTGGAGTATAGTGCCAAAGGAGTGGGGAAAACACGGTATTGCCCATAATGGGGTCTTGCATTTGGTTATATTATTATGGGTTTAACTGCTCCAGTCGATAATCTGATGAACATCGAGAGCTTGCCGCGCATGGTCGCACGATAAGCCGCGCGCTGGCGCCTCGACAAGTTACGGTTCTCTTGTCCGTCTTTCCTGTCAAGCTGTTTGCTCGCGTTTGCGTTTGAGTTTTGATGATATTCTAAGGGGGACAATAAGTTCGCTGTTTTCGATACTAGTATGTTTCACGGACTAAGCTTTGTTTCAGCTGTTCAAACATGTCGATCTCAGACGGACTCCATCTCTTGAATTCGCCCTTCTCCTGGTGTTCGCCTACATTCCATATGGCTTCGCTGAAGCTTTGTCTTTATCAGGTCTGCTTATATCATTGTTCTGTGAGGGTGTGTCCATCATGCTGATTCAACAATTTGCCCAGGTATCATGGCCATATTGTTTTGCGGGATCACAATGTCTCAGTACACTCAACAGAATATCAGTCCAGTTACTCAAATCACCTTTCGTCAAACGTTTCGAACCATTTCATTTGTAGCAGGTATGCATAGTGATCTTCCACCTGGTTTCGTGGCACTCCAATCGGGACAACCTTCGGGCAGCGCTCTTAGGCGGTGTTCATACTTTGCTACGCAGCGTTTCGGGGATATCAAGTTTTGAACGAATCTGTTCTGAGTGAAAAGGAAAGTATGTAGCGTTTCCAGCTTTATTCAACAAAAAAAGGATGGCACAGATATCGATCGGCGCAGGTCGCTAGCATGCAGAGAGGAACAGCGTTTTGGGAGCCAATACAGTACTCTATGGCCTTTCCTTTTAAATAAAGCCTTGAAACTCCACGCCGAGTTGCTGTGTACGAACGCAGCTTGACTTAGCTGCACGGCATCGCCTCACATCGGCGACATGTTTGCCGGCTTGACACTTGTTTGGGCACACCTATAACTCAACACGCCGAAAAACCGAGGCAAATTGGATAAAACCGCGCTTATAAAAAAGATTACACCGTTTGATCAGTCTCCTTTCGGTAACGATACAAATTCTGCTTCCATTGAGGATTGTGGTGGACATTTTACGACAGTCTCTACGCTCGACAGTTTGGAGGCGTCCTTATGCCAAGTGGTCTATTCGTTTTCTAGGATTATTCCACTTTCGCGGCCACACGGTGCGTAACGAAGTCGCTGCGGCCCTAATAAGTGGCACTTCTGACGCCTTCGTAGTTGCCCCGAAAACTCGAAGGCTACCTCCTGTCACGAGCTTTGTTTCCAAGCGGTGTTGGTTTTTTTCATTGGATGGTCCTAGCGTTGGATGACGCGAAGAAATGGTTATTGAGCCAGTGGCGGCATATCATTTTGTTGGCGTCAAATTGGCTGAACGAGAACTCATTATAGTGAGGCACGGGAACCTTACTTAAGGTGCTGTTTTCATGATTTCTTCGAGTTTTTCTCCTGGAGAGTCAGTGCACAAAAATTATAGGTTTGTAATTAAACACCATTACCCGCAATATACAATCGCTGGGATTGTCTTCAAGGCGGTCTACTAACAATTATTTGTAGGAGGCTGCCAGTTTGCACTTCTTTTCCCTTCTAGATGGGTCCGGTTGGAATTTCGCCGGTCCTAGGAGCATAGAAACCTTGCTTTTTCCCGATAAATCCCGAATCGAATCAGCTAGAAGCTGTCTACTTCAACCAACCCTCCACCAAGAAAGAGTTAGGTAGTTGTGCTTGTGATACATCCAAACAAACCCTCTATAATACCCTGTGCTTTCCAGAGACCTCGACGTTTGCGTACATCGGCATGGCGTTTTTCACGATTAAACAGAACTTCCAGCCATCTCTCATTTTTTGGTGTATAGTGAGTCCTGTCTTTGTTTTCACCGTTCCAGTTTCTTTAGTTGCAGCGTTTTTTTTTCGTTGCTTCTCCAGTGCAGGACTTTTTGCTTGCCATGAATCGTTGAAATCGTAGCGTTTTGTCACCACTTTTTGCAGGTGTTGTGTCTTGTCAGTCGAGCACTGAACATATTTCCAATCTCATACGCCGTTAACAAATGAAACTAATATTGGCGTCTCAAGTGCAGATTTCGATGAAGAATCAAATCGATTCTGTGGTTCAGTGGTTAGTACTTTTAGCTGTTGTACCGACTATTTGTGGAAAATCCATAGAATTGAGGGAGAATAAGCAGATATTTCAAATCCTTCTCTTCCCATTTTGTTTGCACCAGCTTTGCTCTTATAGGGATGCGAGGTGCTGTGTGCTTTGCTCTGGTGCTGTACATGGAAGTAGAAAAAGAGAAGAATCGGTCATCTTGACGACTACGCTGGTTCTGATTCTTTTCACGACGCTTTTCCTCGGCGGTACTGCAATGCCGTTTATTTCTTTCATCAACCAATGTTATCCCGATGAAAGACCTCGACGAAGAAGGAGAAGTCTCAGACGACGCGGTGACGGAGTGATGATGAGTAAAACTCAGGAAATGGTTGGTTTCGTGTGGTGTAATCACACAGTTATAGCATAACATTATCTGGTAGACTGTTTTTCCTTGTTTGTCGCTTTCAACTTTGTTTAATGAACTTTCTGAAATTCATTTTTCCTCTCTTCCCTTTACTGAATGAGCACGGAGAGCATATGCTTCTTGCTCTGCCTTCCGATCTAGGGCACGTGCGGAAAGCGAAGCTGAGCCTGTCTTGTTTGACTTTGCGCGCCCCCTTCAATTAATTCTAATTTATTAGATTTTGCTACCGAGACCATTATTTTTCATTTTCAATGATTTTTCTTCCTGTGAGATCAGCTGCCTTGTTTGTGCTAGTAGCAATGCCGCTTCTCGTGTGCACGGTGAGGTTTCTTGCATTAATGTTTGTTTGGTGCTTAGGGCCATGTTCGGAAGCGATGAATGACGCCCTAAGCGAACGATCAGACATGATAGGCCCTCAACGGCTGCAGGTCGACTCATGCGACAGCTTTTCGTTCGCAAGTTCACTGCTTCAGAACGACAAGAGAATCGCGAAAAGCTGGCTGCATTGACACGAACTGTGCTGAGGAACGACGAGGAATCGGAAAGCGAGGTAGCCTAGAGCCGTTTTTAATTTTCGTATGATCAGCACAGTTTGGAATTTTGGATGCCGGTATTTTTGCTTCGAGTAGGCTTTTTAAGCTTTGAGTTGGGATTCTTGTTAATGTGAGTTTCCTCTTCTAGTAAGAGTTCCGATTTTTGGGAGTGTGGAGGTATGGGCCATTACCTCCATGTGGCAGCGACTTGCATAAACTAGCGGGGTATTTCCTAGCTAGCTAATTGACTTGACGCTCTTCAATACTTCTTATCAGTCAAGCTGTGGTGCAGCCGCTTACGCTTGCAGAACTTTCTTCGTTTTCCTTGCCGCAACTTGGAGGTAAAGATTCACTCAATTAGTTTGGAGAGGAGGACTATTTGAGCTGTTCATAGTAATGTGGTCAGGGATACATCGGGGGTAATAGCCCAGCGGTAACGTCCAAAGGTCCCGTGGCTCTTACTGACCAATACAGTTATGGATGTGTTGTGTGTGTGTCATTCATGTGGTGTATATGGTGTTTGTATGTGTGCTGGTGTGTGTGTGTGTGTGTGTGCTGTTGATGGTGGTGCTGTGTTGTCGTGTGATGTGTGTGTGTGTGTGTGGTTGTGTGTTCATCTGTTACTCCATATCCCGATGATACGATAGCGCGTTGTGCTGCATTCACGTCCAACGCGTCGTAAAGATACCTTCGGGATAAGATTTTATTCGAGGCGACTATCATCATGTCTTTTGTACTTTACAAAAGACATGACTATACGTTGATCCCAGAACGGCTATATTCCATCTTAGGCAGAGCCATTTTGCATATTCAAACGAAGTGCGCACTGGACCTCACTTACTCACGCCCCCGTGATACGGGTCTATTGGCACTCAACTCGGAAATGTTATAACAAGTTGCCATGTATGTACGATAATTCAAGTGAGTGTCCATCAGCATCGCTGGCAAACCCGCGTTTTACCTATTAGGTCATCCCATTCAAAAGTGCCGAGACATATAGAGGAGTGGCAGAAAAGCAAAAACGATAGGGAAGCGGGCTACTATACCACTTGGAGGCTAGTACCTTAGGCGATGCACTACCGTGAGATTTGGTCATAAGAGGGAAGGCGCGTCGCTCAAATTTGACCTGCGCCGGACCAGTAGTTGTGTGTAACGGTGTTCTCGAAATACAAGGTGGAAGGTTATGTTCAGGAGCCCGAAAAAGGAAGAAAGAAAAGAATTTGTTGTCTTGGATGGCGTGTCGCATAATGATTCACTGGCGCAAGAAAAACGTGTGGATGAAATTTATGCCCATCTGGATGTCTTGGTCACGAGAGCTGACCTTTGTCGAGCCTGCCCGCGAGACTGACATCCCTGCTGCAACTGCTGCCCGAGTTATGTCCGATAAACTGAGGATGGTCAAGAAGGTGTACGCATTGGTACCTAATTTTCTATTATAGTAGAGACCACGATCGCAGTATCGATTCTATGCCTCTAGCAGTAATGTTCTCAGCATGAGATGTCATTCACGACTGTGAAAACGCACCCCGGCCCTAGATGAAATATGGGTGGTCTTGGACCTCGAGCCAAAACTCACAATCGTCAATTTTGTATGAATGCAGATGAGAAGCCGCCGGAGTCTGCCCGTTTCCATTAATTACTGCGGCTTGCTCAGCACAATCCTCGGTGTAGAACGGACTGACGACGCGCCAACACCCCGTGATACGCCCCGGCTTACGCAACAAGATGATGCGCTGGAACAAGACCGTACTTTTTGATGATATGTTTCATTCTCAAATATTCTTGACAAAAGCATTGCAGTGTGGATGTCAAATCCGTCAAAGAAATTCTTATAATATTCTATGATTGATCTCACTGACTAGTTGTAGATTCACAGATTTTACTTTCAGATAGACGAAAGCGCGCCGAATGCACCGCTTCTGGAATCTGTTTCTGCAGAAGTTTGAAAACTCCGTAGCCAAATGTGGAGCTATTCTCTGAACTTGGTTCGATTCATTGTTTCTATGGGTAAGACAGTCTCATTCTAATTTTGATGTATCCTTCAACCTTCGTTCACAAATAGATATTCTCTTACGAATTACCCTATTTTCTGGGGTACAAGGCGCGCCATCGTTGTGTTAGGCGGCAAGACCGTTGAGTTTGAGGCGCATATCTTTGTGTGTTCTTGTACGTTACAGTTATTTATATACTGCGATCTGTCGCAGTTTGCCAGCAGCTCACACCGCGCCCTTCCCACAGTGGCTATTCTTGTCCTACATTCGATCATTGCTGCAGATCACATTGCGTAGAAGCAAGCAGTGCGGTACGCGAGCTCGTGCCGAGCTGCGCTCGCCGCCCCGTGCAAATAAATGCGCCTTCTACCATAGGAAATAGGGTACTTCTTACCGACGGGGCTGTTGTCAACCAGACGTGCTCTCGCCGCGGGGGTTTTCACCTGTCCTGTAGTTGGAGGGAGAAGGTAAAGGAGGAGGGATCAGAGAAGGAAGGAAGGAAAAGTAGGGAGGAAGAAAAAATGAAAGAGAGGAGAGGCTTCCCGGTTGACAAGTGCCCTGAGACGGTCTTATAAGCGATAGTACGGAATAGTCAGCTGTGGTGCAAAGTTGTTCACATGGCTTATCACCTTTCGATTTGCACTCCGCTCTTTATTCGAACCCTCTTATGTCCTCTCTCTTTAGTCGTGGAAGCTACGGTGAATTTAGTATTATTAGGCATATAAATGTCAATTATCTTTTATTTCTCCATATAGTCGATTTCGTCTGATTGAGCTTCTAACAGTAAGCACTTACAACCGGTAATACGAGTCCTTCATTCAACTGATTATAACAAGACTTTGTACATAATAAATTACGTAGTCAGGTGTACAATAAAGCATTCTAACAATTATTAAGGATTATTATACAAGCACGTTTTATATCATTGTATGATATGTATCAATTCCACAGTCGACATGACATAAGTGGGTAAGACATGAACTGGAGATATAAAATCCAGTAACAAATTGAATGGCTGGACAAAGATGTGAAAATGTGAACAACTACTGGGCAAGGAAGTCCAAGCCTAGTGTTCACAAGGTGTTGAGGTGTTATTTGGGTGAGGTGGTCTCAGGGACGTATGGTTGCCAGATGTTATGAAGCGAGCAACCCGGGCGTTCAAGATATTCAAAATCACTAACCAAACCCCTTAAAACTGTAATTTATTCTACTCTATTGATTCCATTCTATTCAATAGTTGAATATTCATTTAAAAATTCCATAACAGTATAATAATCTACATGAGTGTGGACAGTTTTATCGAAATATCCCTTCTCACTTTCTTGGGGGGAGACATCCGAAACCTGGGAATACCACGGCTTGGGCCTACTCGTTCGCTCACTTTTTCCCATGGTTAAAATTACTGAGTTCCATTGAAGTGGTTTACGGTTCACCTGGAGCATCTAACCTGTAGATATCGTAAACTGACTCAGATTCTGTGGTTACGGCCACACTAAGGTCACGCACATACCCACCGTCTCGGTAGAATTTGAAACTCCGCGTGTGCGATTAGGGGGCGTCGATTCCGTCAGTGGGGAAAATCGTCGGCATCGATGCGTACATTCTCATTTTCGCGCAGAGTATGATCGCATCTTGATTAATTGAACAAGAAGGGTTAATTCAAGAGTAAGGTGTTTGAATCAGTGGTTTGTTTTTAGTGAACTACGTGCAGAAAAGTGGAATACCATCACTCACAGGGGAGGCGGAGGTGAGTAACTTGTTAGCACCGGCGTTCTTATCTCTTAGGTTCCTTATATTTTGTCGATCTAGGGGAGCAATATGTCTCCTCGGTGGTGGAATGGTAGCACATCTTACTCAAAAGAACGGAGTTGAGGTTGAGTCCCACTGCGGGAAAACGTTTTGCCCACAGCTGTGACGTCTTGCGATAGCTTTCGGTCAATGTTCAACGACCTTGGTAACTTCCTAAGGGATTTTCAAGAGAGTTTGCTGGCAGCGCCGCTTCGGCAAAGCAACAATGTTTTTCAAAATTTGCCTCTACGCAGCGAAGGGATAGAATTTTTCTTGCGTGATTTCGCTGTGATTTTCGTGTTTTTTAGGCGGAAAAATTCGCCGATTATTTCGTTTCTAAAGTCCAAAGCTAATCAACGTGAGTAAGTGAAAAGTGCAGGAGGGGGGGATGACTTGGCAGGGCGTTTTAATTCCCAAAAATGAGTTTTCGGTTTCGAATAAAAGAGGTTTTCTTCAAAGATGAGAAGCCGGCATGTCGAATCCCCCATTACCGCCGACAAATCTTTTGCTCTTTGTCTTCATTGAAAATCCAACATCATCACCAGCTTGCCAGTTGTTCGGTATCTTGAACATAGTATTCCCATTTCATCCCGTTGAAAAAAAAAAACGAGTCAGATGATTTCAAGAGCACGCGATATCTACCTGGTATTTGAACCAGGTTTTTCCAATAGTTCCCATCATTTTTGCACTTTAACAATTCCAGTAGTCATTCTTCATTTTCTTCTACTTCTTTTGAATATTCGCGAAGTCACCTTGTTCGTATCCCTGAAGTGAGTAGGCCGTCGTTAACAGCTGGTTTCGATTCGGGATCCAAGAGGGGAGGATAAAATTCGTCCGGCCAGTTCCACGGAATTTCTTTTTCAGTGGCATTCCAACCATCGTAATCGAGATATGATCGACCATTTTTGGTGTCCACGAATTAGGGTGGAAACTGGCGCTACTTCAATATATCTGAAAATATTACGGTGGACGTTGCGAAGTTTGGGATTACTTCTGGTTTTTTTTTTCTTCTATATTTATTGGCCGCTTAATCGAGTCTAGTCAAATTACTCTAAATACTGTCTACTGTTTTCAGTGCGCGTCCCGATCACGACGTATATTCATGGAATTAGGCATGTATGTCAGAGGTTACGGGTTACCACCGCCATGTGGAAAGATGCCTATGTTCACTAGGGTACAGCTGGCTGGCCTCACCGTAAACCAGTAGGTGTTAGTGCATGGGAACTGCACTGCCGGGATGCCTCGTATTCCCTCATGTTGCCAGCATCTAGTAGTCTGGGCTCATCCCAAAGAAGTCCCATATCTTTTGGCCGGGGAGGGGCCTTCGTCAATTATTGTGATTTTGCCTCAGTGGTGGTGCTTAGGGCCTCAGCGATCAAAATGCAAGCATGCAAAAATGCAGACATAGTTCGATTTTAATTTCATTTTCTCCCTGTTGTAAGAAAGGTTTTCAGGCGCTGATGAACTAGTACCACCCTGAGAACTCAAGAAGTTTTTGCTGAAGCTCCCTTTGAGAGTAACTCTGTGCCCCAATCACGAAAATGGCGCTCATTTAGACGTTTTTGACGTTTTCGCGTCATTGGACACCAACTGGCATAACCACCCATTTCACCAAAATCTATAAAACGTTGTATAATAGGCTTTTTGATGCCCTGATCACATTTATGGAATTCATTTTTCGATACCAGTTTCACTTAGTCCTCTGCTAAGGCTGAGCCAGGGAGGAGGAGTAATTTCCTTACCGCCAGGCTCCTCACAGTAGCGCTAGCGCCAAAAATGAATGGCATATTCGGGATCAGGACGCCAGATAACCCCAGAATGAAAGCTGTATAGTTTTTGGCAAGGAAACCAAGTGGCGCCATTGTCGCAAAAAGGTGTCAGCGTTATGAAGCAAATGTCACGTTGATGATCAGGATCGGTATCAGGTCGAATAACCCATGCTTATAAGGCTTCATCGATTTTAGTTAGAAAGGTGGTGGCGTCAAAATGGCTCCAGCATCCAGAAAGGAATGTCGTGTCCGTGCTCAGAGCACGAAAAAATCCTTGTAGGCAATGGTTCAGCAGAAGAGTTCTTTTAAATTCTCGGGTATTAATGGTTCAACAGTGCCGATTTTCATTATTGCTACACTTTCTCAAAAGATGGGGTAAATTCATTCTGTAGTTCCTTGTAAGGAATTCTGTCGCGTTTTTGCTTTCAGTGAGCCGGCCGTTAAGTCATAAAAGGTGTCATCATTTGATCTTTTGACATAAATCTCTTCAGTTCGACGTTTCCCATCAGAAGTGAGCATTAAATTCCGTTTATTGCTCTAGAGGGAAGAAATGGATGATTCCGTCTGCCCCATCGAAGAGAGTCCTGTGGACTAGTCCTGCCTTGCATATGAAACGAATGGGGAACACACCTAATATAGGGATGCGAAATGATTAGTTTGCAGGATATAAGCTCACTCATCTTCATGTTGATCTGCGTTGCAACCGATTACATAGAACAATTTACATTGCAGGATTGAAAGCGTCAGTCCATTAATTCTCAGGGGGCTTTGGAACCCAGTCGGGCATGTAATGGGTTTCCCACTCGGGCTAAAATGCTAGGTTGGCCTGGTTATGTTGAGTGGGAAATGGTCAGAACGGTAGTGAAAGGGGTCAAAATCCGGCGAAGAAAAAGCCTCCGTTCTCAGTGACTTGTAAATCGATTTCGGACGAGTTTCCCGTACGCATCTTGCCAATCACCGCTACCGAAGATACGGCTGCATATGTGTACCCATGTATGCATGCAGCATCACGGCCGCTTCATACCAATCCCTTTGCTTCATAATTTGCTTAGCAAATGAATGAATACGAGCGTCAGGAACGGTCGTCCGTTTGTGGGCGGGCGGGCGAGGAAGGCGTTTGGGACGGAATGTTGTTGCTCGATAGGGCGTTATAGGGGTACCCTCCTTGGAAAAGGCGCCACGGAGCGCCTGTCCGAGGTCACGGAATTCTGTTAAGCCAGTCGTATAAATCCTACATCTGTATAGCGATTTATCGTGCCAACTGCCTTTAAGGAACGCTGGAAGTCACCATTCCTGAGATCACTCATGTTCTCGTCCAGTGCAAGGCATAACATTTGCCTTAAATGGAACAAAATGCACGAAATACGCATCCCATGCACGTTCATGTGAAGTACGAACCACTACCTTCCGTTCTTCTTCTGGTTTTCTGGACATGTAACATATCTTTCACATGTTCGGCACTTCCCATGCGACCCCCGCATCGCGGATTCCGCGACGTGCTCTTGGCCCTGCATATGGAGTGAGCTTTCGGTCTGCACCTCGGTTTTATGGAAATCGTTGCAAACCCGTTACACATGAAATGAGTGGAGCTTAGATCCTAGATACTACTGTCTTTTAGTACTGCAGTTCGAGCTCATCACAATAAACTGAAAGGAGGTCGAATTTCTCACTTACTTGTGATACTTTACCGTCGATCGGGTTGTGGGTTTTTGTGCCGAACAGTCGTGGATATGCCTTGATCTGCTTGATACGTTGCTTACCTTTCTGTTCAGGAGTCAGGATTTCCCTGGAAAGAAAAAAATTCCTTCCAATAAACATGAGAAGCTGATTTGTTTTGAAGGTGTGGGGATATGAAGGGACAGCATTATACAAGTTGACTAAGCTAAAATAAATCACCTTCCACTTAGAATTTCTTCGAGATTTCCGTCGAGAAACAATGGAGCGATATTCGGGTTATTTTGTAAATTTGTCATACCCGTGAAAATATACTTTCACGACCTATTCTGTCGCTGCAGCTGAAAACAAAATAACAAACAGTGTATAGATATAGGTCTTGAATGATTTCTCACTCGCGGATTTTGTTTTATGATGCGCCTGGAAGTTGCTGCGCTCGCGCGAACGACGCGATCTCTTCTTTTTCTTCTTCCGGATCAATTCCTACTATTAATGGCAACATCTTTCGCGGTCTGAAAATTTATTTGACACATTTGTCTCGCTTCTTGAAATTCCGATTACGCGATAATTGAAGACGGTCTACCTTTGTGGGAGCTTCCTGGGCACGAAAAGAATCCAGGTTGTGGATTTGATTTTCTCAATCAGCGGCTTCGTTTCAAATACTCGCTCGACGTCATCGCCACCCTGAATTCGACTTAACGATGAACAAATAAAAGCGTAGATGAGTGGAGGAGTGTTGTCTGCGAATCAATTCTCCTAGGCTGGCCGCACTGGCAATCGACTTCCGTTCCTAGTCGTAAGATGTCTGATGCAGTCGTAAAGATGTAAGAATGCTTACTTGGTCCGCATAGAGGTTTGTAGGAAGTGGCCAGTTTCCAGGATATGCGCGGAAAGGCCTATTACTTATGCTCATGCTGAATGCTGAGGCACAGAAAGTCTTGGTTTGAGCAAGGTTGTACCAAAGCTGCGGCTAGAAAATCGGTGGAACCATCGCCCTTAGTAGGACCCTTTTACTTTCAGTTTTTGTCCTGGGAGAGAGAAAGAGTACTTGTTTTGTTGTCGACAAGTGAGAATTCATTCAAACACACATTTTCGGTATATGTGTGCAATATGCAATGTGCCGTGCAATAACCGAAACTAGAAGGGTCTTTCTTACTATGGGCGACGGTTCCACCGACTTTCTAGCCGTAGCTTTGTTCAGTTCAGGTCCACACCTTCTTCACATGGTCTATCTTCTGGCATGGGATCGAAAGGTCCCACTGCTACGGCAGCACATGGGTAACGTGAGAGGGCGTGGACCTATTGCGGTTGAATGCGGTGGGATTCCTTCTCGTCCAAAGGCTCAGTCTGAGAATAGTACAAACAACTAGAGTCGGCGAGCGGCTTCGTCTCACTGCACAAAGAAGTGAAGTTTGCATTTCTTCCGCATGTATCCTTGTGTACAATGCAGTAGAGGTTTGTGACAAGAGAATCGCGACCTGCTTCACTGCCAGTCTATTTCGCCCATCGCATGCCGCGACTGGATAGTTCGCAGCTGGATACAAAATGTTGTAATACCAACGTTTTCTCACTACTGGAGTACTTGGACAGATACCATGGGGTACTGATGTTACCCTCTCAACGTTGTGAAATACCTTACTCGAACTGCCGTATACTTTGCCGCATCTTGACCGTCTCCCGCACAGTACTGCCATTTTTTGATGAGTTTTGGATCATAATCGGGCGCTACATATCTGCCTGCCCTGCCGGCCTTTATAGGCCTGCAGCCTGCTAACTGCGCATTTTCCAAGAAAAGAGCAAAACATCTATGTTTGGAAACCAGTTACCTCACCCGTGAACTGCTTCCGCATCATAGCCCTAATGAGGTCATAGACTTGAGATGTCAACTTTTTAGGTCAATCTTGTGAGTACCACTCACCGGTACTTAATCTTTTTCAAAGCTTCCTTCACTTCGTCGTTACTCATCAGTGACTTGGCGAAAGCTGGCGTTAACGAAAGTGGCGACCGTCGTATATGATTGTCCTTGAATGGAGTTCATGGGTTTTTAAAGCGTCATCATTTCAGTATTTACTCCCTGCCGAATTAACTGAAGAAAGGATCTCACCACGTCCTTATTACCGTCCTCGTCCTGATCGCCGTCTTCATCGTCTTGGAATATCTCATGCAGTCCTAACACTAGCGAGGATTTCGTATCGAGCTTTGGCTAAACTGATAACATTTAATTCTTTTGAAGTAGATGACTTGACTTTCTTAATATCGGAAAAAGACTGCCAGGTTACTGACAATTCCCGCGATCAAGTGTTACGGATAATAGGTGCTTGATTGTGAATCAGTAGCCATAAGTAACTCCCAGTAGAGGAAGAGGCGAAAAAAAAACTTTGGGAACACCCTGAATAGAGACCATAGCAGTGCGGCCGCCGGCTAGGACGGTTTAGCTGGACGTTGGAGAAGCCTAATTAGCAGGATTGGACGTGCAACCAATTCCCAGCAAGGGAATCGCCCTACGATGCTCCAGGCAACGCTATGCATACACACATTTCTGCTTGTAAGCCGCTGTCTTGCAGAGTGGAAGTAATCAATTCACGCGTCTCTAGATTGCTTCATCTCGAGCGGTTTGAGTGAGGAAATGCATATTTCTACGAAAGCGCGGACAACAATTGGCCAAATCAGCGGAAGAGCATTTCGCAGAGTACCTGATCGCGGAAACTGGTCTTCAAAGCCAGAGATCCACTAATTTCTTTATATGCGTCTTCGAGCGCTGATTTCTCTATTGACTAACATATCTGCTAAGCGATCGATATAGCGATATTTAGCGGTCATCTCTGCGCTTCAACCCATTGTTAGAGAGGGAGGAAAGCCATTTATGCGCCACGCAGCTGTGCAGTGTCAAACTGTACACCGCTAGTCTGTTCACGCAAGTCACATGACGGGCATGGCTCACGGTTTTAGAACGATTATGGAAAGCCCGCTGGGGGCTCGAGCTTCAACCTCACAATCAGTGTTCCAGGCGAACAAATCAAACGCCAAAATCTGCCGAATTTGGCCAGAGTTGTGACCCCGAGTGTATTTTATTCGTTGCCGAGTTCGTCTGGCGCAAATGCAGAAGCGTGCTTTAAAGACAGCGCCCGCGATGGACTTTGGCAGGTTTCAGGGGTCACATTTGCTAGAACAGGTGGCCAATGAAGCACTAATCAAAAAAAGTAGGAAAAAGGTGTGGAAGAGCGTGAAATAAGACCCTACGAAATTTAAGGCATGTGGACGAGTTTCGCAGACCTTTGGTGAGTTCTCCAATACACGTCGCCGCCTCGGAACTCTAGAAATTCAGCGTATATCAATGCCAGCAAGCATTGACAACATGTTAAGCAATCGGGCGGGATTAGACAAGGAAAAGGAGGGCGTTCAGCTGCAGTTCGTCAGCTCAGCCTTGTTGACTCCGCCCTCGTCAATCAATACATTTCGAGCCGCAAGAGTGGGATATCCGCTATGGTTGCGTACTCCGCGTTCGTTTTCATTGGAGGGTTTTTTTCACTTTGGTTGATCGCGGACGCTGCCTTTAAGGAGGTCGAAATGTATTACTCACTTGAAAAAAAAATTCCCACAGCCTCACATGGAATATGGGGGAGGGGAAGGGTTGATGGTCGAAGTGGTGCGTAAATCATCACAAGAATCAGCTGAGTTATGGCAACAAGTCGGATGCCCGGTAACGTGGCGCCGACCTTTTGCCCATAACTCAGCAATTCTTGTGATAGCTTTCGGATCGCGCACTGCGGCGTTAAACAGCAGTTATCAGGCAATAACAGTGCGTAAAATTGTTCTGTAGGCGCTCAGTATACATGTTAAGGGAATTTAGAAACAAGAGGATCCAACCTAGTAGGACGCTGCTTCGCGGTAAGACCCTTACACCACCCGCACCATAATAGCACAGCTGTGGCCATGCCCCAATGACTTTAACGCTCGTTGAAATTGTTCAGCACGGCCAGACTAATGCCCATAATGTCGTTTCCGGGATCGCTTAGCATATGTGGAGTTCAGGTGAGAAATCAGCGCCCAAAGGCGCATATAATGCATTTCATCTTCAACTGAGTATTAGTCTTGTTAGTATCCTCGTAAAGGTGAGCATCGGGAGGGGATCACTCTGCTGAAGCCCCCATCCATCCTCATCAGTTACAGCTGCACACGAAGGGTACCTCTTACAGCTTCAATAGTAAACTCTACTATTGGTGGTGGTGATAACGTTTTTCTACTATTGTAATGTAAATCTACTACAGAAGGCTTTCAAATTACTCACCAATTTGTGTGAGCGAAATCCAAGTCATTGTCGCCAGCAAGAGCTCTTCCACTTTGTATAGGTTCATCTCGAAGGCGCTTGTTGGTGAGTGCTGATGCGGCAGCTGTCTGGATTCTTAACCGGTCGGTATTCAATTTGATTTATTTTATTGTGACTGGGATTTCATTTAAATATTTTGTATAACGCAGTGGGCTCGCCGGCTAATCGCCCTGTCGCGCCTCTGATACGCCCGGCCAGGCGAGGCGGCTTCGCCGCGCGTATTTTCTTTCACATATTTCTAGACTCAACTGATATCCGCCTTTTGTTCTGTACTCCACTTTTTTCCGGTGTCTGAAGTACTCTTGAGCTATTTTACAGATTCTTCGTCTGACTCCGCGCTCACCTCGGGAGCAGGAGCCCCGCCCACAATGTTTGTGCCCCACAATCCTCACCGGCGACCCTCTGCTGACCTTAATCCACTTTTTCCGGTCTTCGGAGTGCTCTGGAACCGTTTTACAGACCTTTTTCTCTGGCTCCGCCCACCTCGGAGCAGGCTCCGCCCACAATGTTTTTGCCCCAACAATCTTAACCGCCGACCGAACCCTTTCTGCTGAACTTCATCAATGACCTTTTTTCGCGGGTCTATCTGGAGGTTGCTGGAAACCGAGCTAAGCGAAACTTTTAAAATGAATACGCTGCAAGCTTTGCCGCACGGGCGTAGGCGGGTCTCGAACACACTTTGAGCTGCTGGCCCTATTCTATTCGCTCGGATATTTACATTTCTACCACTGAGTTTTTTGCGACTGTCCAAAACATCTTCGGCGAACCGGGTTGGTGAATTTGCGCAGAAGCAGCCGCCGCACTTGAGTACCGCCGCCGGCCCGAAGGGATGATAGACCTGCCACACTTAGTCTGGCGACAGCCTTACTAATCGCTTATTCCCTTTTTTTCACCATCCGTTAAGCTGGCTCCGAAAGCCGAATTGATGAACATTTTTTCTGCGGACCCCGAATTTGCGCGCGACTGCTCCGCCCACTGTGGGCGGGGCTTGCCATAGGTCAAGTGTGCTTTTTATTTCTCGTCCCATGCCTACCTATCCCCACCTTGACTGGACCTCTCCAAGTCGTTCTTCAGGTCGAACCGAATTTCCGGACAGACAAACTTACAAACTTACAAACTTACAAACTTACAAACAACAAACAAACAGACAAAGCGAATTATATATATGGGGTGATAGCCTGTAACGGTGAACTAAGTTCTAGCTCAAAGACAATCAGCACATTCATCTTTGAAGACGGTTCGTACCACATGCGACAAGAACGGGTTGCCAACTTCACCTATGTAATGCCTTCGACCATCGAAAGCGCGAGAGAGCTAGGCTAGAGGGTAGTGGTGCATAAGGGCCGTCTCTATGCTTCGCCCGCGCTATCCTCAAAGTGCGGCGCTTGCGTCGATTTTAAGATCCCGCCGTGACTAAGCGGTAGATAGCAATCAGAAGTGAGATGACGCTGACAAGTAGCGCCTCCGATTATGGTTATAGGCATTTGGCTGGCCGCATGGCAGTGCGGGCGGAGTCCCAGCACCTAACGATGACTAACCACCATCCCGTGAGGCGGAGGTGGTGTGATGGCAAGTGGGCAAGTATACTATGCGTGCGGTCCGGGGGTTCAATCCCGACCTTTCCCCGCTTGCTGTGGCTAGGCCAACTAAGGCTACTACCACACCGGGGACGCTAAATTGGTACCAGATCCGTCTGGGAGAATAAAAACGCTGGATTGTACATCAACTGGCCCCCGCAACTAATTGTATTGACGACAGCGCATTCAGCTACCCATTGCTATCCTGAAGAGGAGTAAAGTGCGTGCCGCGCTCTAAAGAGAGATCATCGGACTTCATTTTTTTAATTTCGGTATTGCGCGTATCGAATTGGAGAATGCTGCACGGTACTGCAGCTGCTGACCCATTCAGTTCGTGCATGGCAATGGTCAGGATCCTCGGAGAGTAGGATTTGTGTTTAAGCTGGGAGAGATAACGATGACTACACTCGTCAAAATGTTATTGCGATGTGTGTGGTCTTCTTAGTGACAGAATGAATTGATGCCCGCAGACTGAACCGTGTACGGAGATTTCGCCCTGCTATTAATGATGCGGAACTTGCAAGTGAGGATCGAAAGGAAATTTACGAGCTGCCGCTCAACAGAATTTTGAGAAATGAGAGAAAATATGACCAAAATGGCTAAAAATGAGAAATGATCTCAAAAGAAGTGAGAGTACGGGAACAAATGAAGGTGAAAAGGAGCAGAAAAGGAGTTCCATGCAAAATGATTATGCAGAAAGCCGACGTCAATGCCTATACCTGCAGGAGTGTCCTGAGACGGGGGCTGCTTCGAAGTTGCTTTAGCAGACTTCTTCTAGGAGTCTCTTCAATGTACGCGTCGTAGATCGATTCGGATGGGGAATTTCGGGATATCATAGGGGTAAACCGCTGCTCCCCTGTTGGCATGGCATTTTGTTGTGATTCCTGAATAGGGAATTTGGATAGTATGTATGGAATGCAAGCAAGAAATCCAACAGCTATCTCTCAAAACTTTCAGTAAACAGTGAAAATTTCCTCAATGTTTATGTACAGCCTGATGTACATGAGCCGGTAATGAAAAGGAAATTCTACTGAACAGTGCCTCAAGTGGTCAGTGAGACTCGACACGGTTCACAGTATAGTTCGCCGAGTTAATATGTCTAATTACCTCATATGTGTCTGAGAGGAAATGGTGATCCTCTTCTTTGATCACCCCCTTAGTTTCCTAATTTGACAAACCGATTCAGTGAGGATGTTACGAGTTTGCAAGCAGTTATCGAGATCATTTTGGTAGTTTCGATAGTCACTGATTCGTTTTGATACATATTATTTAATTAACTTATTCAATAGTCAGTGACTTACCAATGCCATTCTTCGGATTTCCGACGGTTGAGCTTGAGGTGATCGCATTTGTTGGGGTATTTTGAACGGATTTCGTCCAGCAATCATGTTTGCCACAAGACCTGGTAGGATTTGGGTTTGAAATTTTTCCAGGACTGCTTTTGCTATCTGTAATCGGAAAAGTACCTTGTTGCTGAACAGTAGTGATAATGAGTGAATTGCTTTATTGATCCTACTGTTTTACAATTCACCAGTTATTTACCTTATATCATTGATAATCATATATCCAAAGAAGAACGCAGCAGTCAACTGTGGAGTATTTGTCCTTGACTATTGCTAACCTCCTTTGTGTTCGATTTGGTCTTTTTTTGGACCATCCTTTCGGATCACAACTCCTCATTCTCACAAGATTGCAAAAAAAAAATTGGACGTAGGGGCAAGGGACCGCCATCTAGGGCCTCCGCGATTTCAAATGTCCCTGCGAATAGAAGCTGAGGGCACTGGTGACCGGAAGAGCGCTGGCCATGTATACTTCCCCTAGAATGCAAGAGGCCAACAAATAGGCCCGCAGGAACTTTAGCAGTCACCGTTACCCGGGCTCTACTCCTTACGAACCGGTCTACAATACCCGATGAGGGGATTCGCCACTATCCACCCTTCATTGGCACAACCATCCGGAATTGAACCTTTCTTTTGCTGATTTTTTTCTCCGCGGCAGGTTTGGCTAAAATTTGTCTCTAAGAATAGTTAACTCTTTGGTACTTCGATAATATCACATCCACTTGGCCCGAAATCTGGCGCGCGCCACAAGACGCCGTCACCAAATTCGCTAAAAACTTGTTCATAGGGATAATTTCACCTTCATTTTACCTCTCAATCATGGATGCCACATCTGCATGGGGTACCGAGCAAGTTAACGGTGGGGGGGGTACACACTATAGCGCGGCCTGCTAATCTGCACTCTTCCCTCGAAATAATGATCCCTTCCTCTGAAAGTGCTGAGCCGCAGCAAAGGGAAAACCACTCTCCCATGTAACTAAAGAGGGTCTGCCTTGCATCGCCCTGACTGCCCCTGACTGATTCCCTGACTGCCCTAGCACATCGCTCGGTTCAGACGGATTGAACAGCCGGAGTCAAAACAAGCATGTTTTGGTGTCATTTTAGCGAGCACTCCCAATTCTTTCAGACCTAAATGAATGCAGTACTCCAGTTCAGGAAAAAACCTACCCATGGGGACAAGGTCTTAGCGAATTTGATTATTCAAGGTACTTTGGCATGGGCGGGCGGAGGTGGTGTAGTGACAAGTGGCGCGCTTACCACTCGCGCGGTCCTGGGTTCGAATCCCGGGTCGACTCCCGCCCAGGCCAACCAAGCCTTCTACCCTCCGGGGACGGTAAATTGGTACCAGATTCGTCTGGGAGGATAAAACACTGACTTGTACATCGGCTGGCCCCGCAAGTCATTGTATAGGCCACATCGCATTCAATAAGCCACTACGATTCTGAATGGAAGTAGAATGCGTGCCGCATCCCACAAAGGGATTGATCAACGACTTCATCTTTTTTTTAATTTTAGCATGGGCTTTTGTGCGTGGCAGTTCCGGACCGAGCGGATGTGATATTCTTGTTTGAGGGGTTAATCTACTCCTGGAAAACAACTTCCGTACAAATCAGAGTTCTAAACGTGTACTTTGAAGACTGGGGCATGATAGGGTAAGCAGCGGGAATTCTCCCACCTACGGTATCAAAAAAACCTTTTGCAATTGATCAGGCGTAACAACAACTACTACAGTCCTCTCTCGTTAGATTTTCCATTGAAATCCTTGTTTTAAAATGTGCTTAGGAACAGATGAATCTAGAAAAATTAACAAGGTTCTCAAATAAACCTGTTCTGATGGGTCCTGTGTTTCTATTTCCTTTTGAGTTTTTATGGCCTGCTCAATACCTTTGAGACTGCTCGCAATTGGAATTCCATTCTCGTTCAGCATATCAACCATAGGATTACCTAGAAATCACTTTTGTAGATGCTCAAGGCCACAACTCGTACCCATATTCGAGGTGCTCAGGTGTGTCAGATGCACTCAATCGTCTTGCTCATCAAAAACCTGCGAGGAAAGCTTTCGTTTCCTATGACTCGACAAATCAATTTCGGACGAGTTTCCCATAGGCATCTTACCAATAACCGCTACCGAAGGTACGGCTGCATGTGTATCTGTACATGTCATATATCCATGCAGCATCCGCTTCATACCAATCCCTTCGCTTCATAATTTGCTTAGCAAATGAATGAATACGAGCGTCAGGAACGGTCGTCCATTTGTGGGCGGGCGGGCGTGGTGGGTCGGATGTTGTAGCTTGAAGGTTCCTTATAAGGATTACCTCCCTTGGAAAGGGCGCTGCGCAGCGCCTTCTCAAGGCGAGACATTCCGTGCTGCCACGACGTATGCAATCCCACTCGTTCTTCAGGATTTATCTCGTGTCAAAGCGCTTCTAATAACCAAAAGTTGAAGCACCTTGAGGGAAATACAGCGCATCAAGACTAAAAGCAATGAACAGCGGCCAACTACGATGCCCTTCCAAGAACCTCACTAACACTCCAGACTGAGGAATTACCAGTGATGCTGTGCCATGTTCCAGCAGCTGGCCGCCTTCGATCTACACTAGGGCACATTTTCCTTTGAGGATTTCCAGCAAGGGGAGTTCAGTCGTCGGTGGCCTGCTAGAGGGAAGGAGGTCGTTTCGCTTTCGAGTTGGAGAAAAGGTGGTTGCAAGATGAGAGGAATGAGCGAGATGATGTTTAAGATTGGGGTCGTAGCAGGTAAGGAGCTTTTGAGGGAGAATGATCGATAAAATTACTTAACATAGAAGTTAAACCAAAAGACTCTTTTCACAAATACCAACTCCGGTTTTTCTTGGTTAGGTATATTGGGAGGACTACCGCTATGCGCCTACGGCATCCGCAGCAAGATCTTCAACTTTGAGCTTCTTGTATTTCTCATACTGAAAACAGAGAAACACTTTATAAAGATAGTATTCTCCCAACTTCTTTGCTGCGAAGGCTCTACGACTGCGGTAAAAAGCAGGTTGTAACTGCATCGTTTTGAAATCTTTCACATTTTTCGAGACCAATTGAGGCCAGCGGGAACTGCATAGATTGCTGGAATTAGAATTACCCTACACAACCTATTTCCTGGCGTATGAAGGCCCTCTCGCGCAGAATCGCATTCGACACGTGTGCGGGGACGGGTAGACGGCACCGCCAAGTCACTATACACTCCACTCATTTTTGAAATACGACTCACCATATAGGTAAACAACCAACGAAAAACTTGGCAAATAATTCGAGGAAGAACATTCGAGTTACGGAGGGCAATAAAGTAACCTTAATGGATGCAGGAGTATGGTAGAGGAGATTGCTACGAGATTGCTGGCCGACTTCAGGTGGTTCAGAGTCCCAGGTTCGAGTCTACTTCTAGCCTAGTTTAGCAAGGCAATCTCGAGCTCCCCTCTGAATTGCAGCTCCTTCTGAGCACAACTATGTTAAACTGCTTTGTTAGTTGGACAGATTTCAACATCCTACTAGAAAGTTGCTCCAATCGACACGCCTCGTTCCAGAAGGCACGCCACCGCCTGCTCCTCTTCTCAGCTGTTTAACATCGAATCAGGAGCGGTGTCAGAGGGCGGTAGAGGCCTCAACTTATCAATAGTGTTCGGACGGTGATCGACTTAGCAAGAATGAAACCTGTGGTGAAAACACCACAAGTGCCTTCTGAGACCGCACCTACTGATGTGCTGCCCGGTAACTCCCGCTATCCTGCGGATTCAGGAGACGCTTTCAATGCAGACTGTTGCAGCTCAATGATGCATAGAGCCACATGAATGCGACAAAAGTACGTCAGGGAATGGGCGCAGACGATCGTCACAGATCTCGCTTACGCTGGACGTGCCGGCTGTGAGAGCGACACCTTGAATTGCACTATCTCTTCAACGAAGCATTGGGATTTCAATACCAGAGCACAGGACATGGTAGCCCATTATGTCAATATACTCGCGCCGTAACACTTGTCTATTCTCGATAACTACCCACCTGAAAGCGTCGTCCTTGTCGCACGCGAACGCCTCACGCCCCCCTAGCGCCGGCGATTATCGATTCACCCCCTAACGTCGACCCCACGTCCAAACTGAGGCGCAGTAATGGCAACTTTCAGACACTTACCCGACCGACGCGCAGCCGCTTCAGTCCGCGCGTGCAACACTATTATGTGCACGCTTCTCTACCCACACCCCACTCGCAATCGATCGCCTCGCACACGCCCGCCGATCCAAGTGCATCCACCCCGCCGTCGCGAAGTCTAAAGCTGCCAAGCCCGCTGCACCCCGCGCAAGCATCCAGTTGGAGTTAGCGCCACCTAAATTATTCGTGAGATTTTTGAGAAAACTGTCATCATGTCTTGTGCTGGACAAAGATGAGAACACAAACGCCACAAAACAAAAATATCCTACCATCAAAATCCAAAAGAATTAAGCAGTCACGTCTGCCGCATCTCAAGGATATGGCGTAGAGCTCACAACACAATCTTGCGCAAAATAAGCAACGCCTGCACCAGGCACAATGCTTTAGCGTGAAATAAAGGTTGCCACAGTTCAGTTGTAAATGATAAAGCTTGTTAATATAGAACACAATTTAGTAAGGGAAGAGCAAAGAACTCTATGCAAGACGCTTTGTGTAGAACGCGATACCTGAGCCACGCTTGTACGCGGTGCACAGGGAGGAGAAAGGGCATGGTTTGGACGAGTTCTCATTATCTGGTGCCATCTCTTCTCCTTATCACCTCATTCCTAATTGGAATGGAGAGAGCTAATAGCGGGATAACAGTATCGCGGGGACATTTGGAACTTAACGTGGGCTTCACCGCGAGCGAAAACTGCTTTTCTCACGTTTTTTTTTGCAGCTGCGGCAGTAGTACATCCTCAATGTTTGGCAGGATTGCCTTGTCCCCAATAGACGTTTGAACATCAAAGGAATATACTGGCTGCCTTCGAGTTAAGAAAAAGTTGCGTGCTCGACTGTCCACCTTGCACATTCGTACAGCAAAAGCGGTAATTCTCTGTGAGTGCAGACCTCGCTACCAAAGCCCATGGCATTTAATAGATCACTGGATCGCGAGAACTTCCTCTGAACAGCGATGACTAGGTAAATGTGATAGGTAAATGGCGACTAGCAAAAAGTAAAGTCAGAATGAAGAGCTGGTCACAATCGCTTACAGCGTCCGCGGTGCTTCAACGAATCTCTTGATAGCGTTCCTGCTCACAGCTAACGAGCCAAGGATCCAAAGTCGGAAAATTGAGGAGTGAATTCACTCTTACAAGCAGCGATCAGATGGCCATGATAGTCTACATGTTGACGGCGAATCACAGAAAAGCAAAGTTGACGTGGTGGACAACCCCATGCTCTGACATGATTCCTACTAACCACCTTTTCGACCACTCCGCTACGCTACCACGAATGTTGTCTCCCCCCTATTCCCACCTCCCCTTCTCCCCTCGCCCCACTTATTCGGCAAGCTACCATGCTGTAGAGTGGGCCTAAAACGTGATGCGAAAAACCCCCAAAGTTTCACTAGATAGCCGAGTAATGAATTACTGAAAATCCCAAGCTGAGCGTTGCAAAGTACTCCAGTCTGCCAGTCGCCAGTCGCCAGTGGTCCATCTCGCCACAAATTGCCAGACTGATCTGCTAACTTTCCCCCTCTAGCCCGGCGCGAAAAAGTGATCTGTGTGTTGCGAGGGCCATCGCTTCTACCTCCATGGAACGGTCAACACAATAAGTCGAATGTGGTTCGCGATTTGTAGAGGACTGTGGAAAATGCTTCATTGAACAATTTAACAGCATTAAAGGAAATCACAATGAGCAAATTCCTCAATGGAGCAATTGTCGTACCTCTGATAGAACTGCAATACGATCACAGAGGATGTCCGCCTCATCCATGAAATGTGTAGCGAGGATTACAGTATGATTTTCCTTGTACTTCAATATAAGATCCCAGATAGCACGTCTAGCGAACGGATCGATACCAGCTGTTGGCTCATCAAGAATCACGATTTTCGAACCTACGAATGAAGAATTCCGAAAAAAAAGTGGTGAACAAGCGCTGCATAATGCAAAATCGTTTTCCAGCTTCAGGTGCCTGCACGAAATATTGTGTCGAAGTAAACGGCATTTCTCGACAGCTATTTTCATTCTATCTGCGTGGGATTTAGTCAATATATTATTCTGACTGAATTCAATTTCTCTCGATGACCGCCCCCGCCTATCTCTCAAAAGGATTAGTCGGTTCACCTTCTCCCAGAGTTGGGTAACTGAAGACCGAGAAGGTCGAAGATTTGATTACCTTCCCGAGATGGCCATGATTGTGGAGCTGCTAATCTCGAGAGCCCTTTTTTCGCATTCCACCTTGGGGGAAGGGGGAGCAGTCGTGCACTTTCGTTAGCCCACTAGTTTTGCTTCACAAGTCCCACTCTGACGAGACCTGTGTATTCTTGTGAGCTATTTGAACAGTATGACCTTCGTTATGAAAACCAAAGGCATTTTGAAAATGGTGAGTCGGATTGCTTCAATAACAATGTTATGATGGCAGTCCCTATAGCAACGGTAAGATTGTAAGACGTAAATTACACGATAGTGAAGAGAACAGAAAGAACCGGTCCAGAAGCCCCATAAAAATCCCGTGCCAAACAGCGCTTGTACGTGCATACCAGAGACCCTGGTTGGACGAATACCCAGCTCCTCCTTCTCACCTCACTCTCGAATTGGAGAGAGGTGGTAGAGGAACAACCGTACTACGTGGAAGCCAATTGGAGTGAAAGTGGCTGTAGCCAGAGGTTTGGGAGACGAGTCGCCACAAATGAGTCGCACCTTCCTCACGTTTTGTAAGTGCGGAAGTAGCATTTCTTCCATCTTGCGAACTACAGGGGGGGGGCAAAAAAAGACTTTTTT